AATTTTCATCTCATTGACTTCAATGTCCTAGCGGTGACTACCATTGTTCTAGCACGGAGATTGATCGGTGCTATCGTGAAGGAGGTGAAGGAGGTAGAGGCGGGGAGCCCCACTAGTCCAGAGGGGTGGGGATGTTGTTTGTGATTGGGCTTCTTTACATTCCATTTTTCTTATGTAAAGAACAGCCCTTTTCTATCTCCTGTCCCTTTTTGTGGGTGCTCCTGGGAGATTTTGCCAAAGGATAGTGTCCATTGCCCACTTTGCACAAGCAAGCAAGAAGAAGGGAGGAGGTTCTGAAAGATGGGACCTGCTGCAATAGCCACTATCCTCTAAAATGCAAGTGTGCAGAATGCAGCCCTCTAGAGGCTGCTGGGCTTTACTTCCCTTTAGGTTGTCACTATTGGCTATGTTGGTTAGGGCTGATGGGACTTAGAACCAAACAACATCTGGAGGGGCCTCAGGTTGCCCACCCTTCCTGAAAAATACAATTGTTGGGGTTAGAGGAAGTTGGATGCTGGTGTACAGCCCCACTTGATGGTGTAGTTTTCAGTGGTATGCTGTTTTACTTCATATTGTAAGACACTTGGATGGAGAAAAGGCCAGATATTAAATAAATAATTACACAAATAAGGGGAAGCTGTGAGCAGGAGACCCTTCCTAAGAGGATGTTCAGGTTAAGTGACATTGTTATGTGCCTTCAAGTAATTTATGACTTATGGCAACCCTAATGCAAAACCTATCACAGGGTTTTCTTGGCAAGATTTGTTCAGAGGAGTGCAATTTTAAATATGTTTACTCAGAGCTAAGTCACTTTGATATCAAAGGACTTATCCACTAATTAGGATTGCAATCCTAAGCCTTTGAAAGTCAAACAAGCAATTCAGGGGCATGCTGATTTTCCCCCCAAAGAGGGAGTAGAAATTTGACCTTGTTTCTCTTCTTTCTCTTCTCAGGCTTCTCATACCAGCAAAGTCTCCCTGCCACGCTCCATTTTCCTGATGGTCACTTGTTTTCCTGTCCTTACTGGGGCTGCTTGGAGTCTCGCCAAGTCGATAATCCACCTCTTCACGACGTATTCTCTTCTCAATCTCTTGTTCCTGTGCTATCCGTGAGTAATCTTCTCTCATATATATTTCAGTTCTGGTCTGAGACAACTTTGAAACCCTACAACGAAACAATCCCCTTAGTAGACCGTAAATACAAATACTGAGGGCACTGTATGTTTTGCACAGCAAACACTTAAATTCTTACACTCAAGTTATTCAGAGTTTTGCGCTGCCACCATTCCCCTCCCCTGTTGTCTCCTTTGCAGTAATTCTTACATTGTAAGCCTCTCAGGACAAAGGCCTACCCTTTCCATCTTTGTAAAATACCTGTAGATGGATGACAATAAAATAGCTTTCTTCCTTCTCCTCTCCCCTAGGTTTGGCATGTACGTCCCCTTCCTGCAGCTAAATTGTGACTTCCGCAAAACCGGCCTCTTCTCCCAAGTGGCCAACATTGGCCCTCGGGACACCGGCGATGTCAGCTCAAGAGGAAAAGACTACCTGTCAGTCCTCAAGGAGAGCTGGAAGCAGCACACCCGGCAGGTCTATGGCATGGAGGCCATGCCAACCCATGCCTGCTGCCTCTCCCCAGATCTGATCCGCAATGAGGTGGAATACCTGAAGATGGGCTTCAACTGGCGCATGAAGGAAGTGCTGGTCAGCTCCATGCTCAGTGCCTACTACGTGGCATTTGTGCCAGTCTGGTTTGTAAAGGTATGTTAAGTGAGAAGCATTGTAACTACATCTCCATAGCTATGTCTATGTTGGTCTTTCCTCTTATGTGGGTCACATTCTCTCCTTCATCTGTCTCTTTCCCACAGAATACTCAGTATTATGACAAACGGTGGTCATGTGAGCTGTTCCTCTTGGTCTCCATCAGCACCTCTGTCATCCTTATGCAACATCTCCTGCCAGCCCGTTACTGCGACCTCCTCCACAAGGCCGCAGCACATCTAGGCTGCTGGCAGAAGGTCGACCCAGCCCTTTGCTCCAATGTGTTGCAGCATCAGTAAGTAGCCCTCTGGACACGATTCCATCTTTTCAAAATTGTTTGCATACATTTGCAGGGGATAGCTGAATCCTGAGTGGGCAGCCTTCATTGTGCAAATGGACCCTCATTTGTGCTCCATGTGGGAATTTCTACATTTTTGGATTAGTTCACACAAGGACTGAGAAAGCCCAAGAGGTCTGGGGCCCAGTTTTTGGTTCCACGACCCACAGCAGGCTTTATCAACTCACCAAAAAAAAAAAAAGAGAGAGAGAGAGAGAGAGAGAACTGGTTGGGAGACTATGACCAATTTTGGTAAAACCCTTCACATAATAAAATTAATTATACTCAGTGACAAACTGAAAGAGCCATATTCAGAGTGGTCCCTGTCTCCCCCTTTTCCTCCCATGCCAGATGACTTAATTTCTTTTTTCAGGTGGACAGAGGAATGCATGTGGCCACAGGGAGTGCTGGTGAAGCACAGCAAAAACGTTTACAAAGCTGTGGGCCATTACAATGTGGCGGTGCCTTCAGACGTCTCCCATTTCCGATTTCATGTAAGTTTTTGCCCTTAAGGTGACTGAGTATGAATTCAGGCAATTTCTGTTTCATCTTTCATCTCTCCAGCAGCTTCATTTATATACCGCTTCATACCACGCTATGGAGTGTCTAAGCAGTTTACAACTGTACACTCATTGCCCCCCAACAGTTGGGTACTCATTTTAGCAACCTCAGAAGGTTGCAGGCCTGAGTCTAGCCTGAGCCCTGGCTAGTATTGAACTCGCAACCTTGTGGTCTATGAGTGAGTGGCTGCAGTACAGGCATTTAACCACTGTGCCACCAGGACTCCAGAATGTTCATAGAAGACCCCTGTCCACATATACACACACAGACCGCGGGAGAGAATTATTTGGTGGCCCAAGGCCATCCACTAAACTAGTGGGGATTTGAACAAGAGTCACCCCAGTCTTGGGCCACCACCCTAATCATTACACCACACTTTCTCTAGGGGATGACTTAAAACAGTGCTACTTGAAGTGGTGGTCCATGGATTGGTACCATTCCTTGAGGCATTGGCTGCTGATTTCCAGGAAAGAAAGAATTGTAGCCAACAGGCACAAACATGGTACCTGTCTCTGGCACTTGGGAGCAGGAGAAGATGCCAATCCCCACATCACATAACCTGAGATGCACTGTTTTGATACAACCCCATTCAGCAACCAGGCCCATAAATCAAAAGGGAGCAGGCAGGAAATGCCTGGATTTTTTTTTCTTGTATTTACATATCTCTGTCTGGTGACTTGAGTTGCTCCCTGTCAGAAATGGGAATTATGGTTCTCCACAGCTTTTCTTGAGTGGTTGTGAGGACAAATGCATTTCAGCAGGGGATTTCAGCCTTCCTGCCCCTCGGGGAACCTTCTACCCTTCCATCAGTCCACTTGGGAACCCCTTTTATATCAGCCATAGAGTCCTCTTTGGACTGCAGAGGAACTTATGGTTGGAGGTGAGCTTTAGAGCAGTGTTTCTCAAACTAACTGATACAGTGGACCAGCAATTCCTTTTTCTCAGTGTGCTGAGAGTTAGAGTCATATTTGTGCCCACTGACTGTAGCTGTTTCTTTCTTTCTTGGAAACTTGCTGTGAACCAGCAGCTGTAGGCTTGTGAATCCACAAACCAGCATTTTGAATAGCAGTGCTTTAGCTGTGCATGCCTTAGAACACATTTTTTAAAATTTATTTAAAAATGTAAAAGCACCATTCTAGTCCTCTTGTAGGCAAAAGTCCAGGCAATGTGCAGGAGACCACAAACCTCTCTCCTGAAGGGGCCTTTTCTTTTTGGTTTTTCCAGTTTTTTTTCAGTAAACCTCTGCGAATCTTGAACATCCTGATCCTGCTGGAAGGGGCTGTCATCTTCTACCAGCTCTACTCACTGATCATGTCAGAGAAATGGCACCAGACTATCTCATTGGCCCTGATCCTCTTCAGCAATTACTATGCTTTTTTCAAACTCCTGAGGGACCGGTTGGTGCTGGGGAAAGCCTACTCGTATTCCGCTTCCAGAGAGACTGATCCGAAGCTCAACTGAAGGCCTCACACTTAACAAATGCAAAAAAGACAGTGTGTGTGTGTGATGGGGGGAGAACAAAAAGGAACCAGCCCTGAGCTTCATTGGGGATGGGGCAGGGTGAGGTGTTCCTGCCCCACTCCCTTTACAGCACCTGCAAAACACCACACTGCCAGAGAATTGTTCCCCAGAAGATCACACAGGATCACAGAGATGGAGGAGGAAAGGGCTTGAGCAGAGCATGGCACTTGAGCATGCAGTCAGGCCGGCCCTGAGCTTTGTATGTCTGTATTTTTGTTTTTGTTTGTTTTTTTACCACTGCTTTGGTTTTGGTTTTGGTTTCTTTGATAACTGGTATGACGAGGAAAATATCTTATTTTTGTACTCTTAGCTGCGGTCAGCCTGGTTTGTTAACTAGCTGGAGTTAGAAGAAAGAGCAGGCACTAGCTCCTCTCCTGCTCCCTCAGTTTTTCTTCCTGGTTGTCAAGGTGGGGAGGTTGGGCAGGCTGGGTTTTCCTTGGGAGGCTGGGCAAATCCTGATGGACACAGGTCTGGGAGCCCAGTTTTGCCCTCCAGGGTCCTCTGCGTGCTACAGGACTTCCTTACATATTTAATTTATGGATTTGAATCCTTGCTTGGCCATGGAAGCCCACTGTGTGGCCTTGAGCAAGTGACACTCTCTCAGAGGAAGGCAATGGCAAGCCCCCTGTGATGCAGTCTTGACAAGAATAGCCTTTCTTAAGGTTATCTTGTTTTTTGTGCTTTCAAGTCATTTCTGTCTTAAGGTGACTCCAAACCTATCACATGGTTTCCTTGGTAAGATTTGTTCAGAGGATGTTTGCTATTGCTTTACCCTGAAGCTGAGAGCATGTGACTTGCCCAAGGCCACCCAGTGGGTTTCATGGCTGAGCTGGGAATCGAATCCTGGTCTCCAGAGTTGTAGTCCAACACTGAAACCACTATGCCACACTGGGTTTTACTATATTTTAAAGTGCTTTGCCTCTAGGGTTGCCTTAGGGTCACCATAAGTCTTAAAGACACAAAACAACAACAACAGTCTCGACTTTTCTCCAAAACAGGACCCAAAGTGGCTCAAAACAAATTATAGGCATCCCTCAGAAAGACATCCTGGTTATAAGGACGCGGGATGCACACACTGTGAGTAGTTGGCCACCAGGTGGTGGTCATGTTCAGTTATTTTGGATCTTTCTCTGCAGACTTGTTACAAGAGCGTTCCCATGCCACTCCCACGCCAGCTCTTCTTTTGTTTGGGGGGACAGGTCTTGTACGCTCTGTCAAAGGCTATAGGATGTCACGAAGTGTAAAAGTTGGGAAAATGCAACTTTAAAACTCTGCACTTTCGAAGGAGGCAACAACACAATGTGACATTTGTGGGCCGACGTGTCAACCACAATGTTCTCTATCCATCGTGTGGTTTCTAACGTGAAGGGCCAACATAATGGCAGCTTCACACATGAAAGGTTTTCCCCATCCAACAAGAACATCATGCAGATATTTGAGCTTGCTAATGGTAAACAAAACGCTTTTAGCTTTTTCTGCTAAAGTCCCAAGCTCTGCTCAGTCACAGTGTGGTCAGAACCCAAAACTTACCACTTGCACCCCAGTGCTGGGAACAGAGTTCCTTGTCTCCATAGTTTTTGAAACTACCTAACTGTAGCCTTTTGAGCCCACTTGAACTGCTGTGGCTGCATCCCATAGGAATAGTGGGTCTTTGCAGTTTGGGGAGGCACTGAAAGAGCTCTCTGGCTGAATATTCAAAATACCTCATGAAACGACAAATCCAGGATTTCGTAAGCCATTACAAAAACCTCCAAAGAAAGACTCCACCACCCTTTGAGGCAGCAGCATCTTCCACTACCAAACAGCTCTTACCATGAAGTTCTTCCTCATGGAAGCTTTTTTCCTTTTGTTTGAATCCATTGTTCTGTGTCCTGGTCTCTGGAGCAGCAGAAAACAAACTTGGTCTATCCTCAATATGACATCCCTTCGAATATTTAAACATGGCTGTCGTGTCAGCCCCTAACCTCTTTTCCAAGCTAAACATACCCAGCTCCCGAAGCTTCTCACAGGGATTCATGGTTTCCAGACCTGTCACCAATTTGGTCACCTTCCTTTGGACATGGTCGAGTTGCTCAACATCCTTATGGAATTGTGGTACCCAGAACTGGACACAGGATTCAAGGTGAGGCCTGACTAAAGATAGTGGTACTATTCCTCCCCTCAATCTAAATACCATACTCTCATTGATGTATCCTAGGATCATACTGGCTTTTTTTAGCTGCTGCCTCACACTGTAGGCTCATGTTCAACTTGTGGTGTACTAAGACTCCTAGATCCCTTTCGCATCTAGTCAAGCCAGGTGTTTTCCCATCCTATATCTGATCCTTTCATAGTCCCTCAGCAACTGATGTTTCCCATATTTTCCCTGAACCACAGCCAGTTACCTCTGCCAAGTAGAACCCAAACTTCCCCCACTTCATCCTTGTCTGCATTCGCACCAGCACTTCAACTATTGTCCCATCGGATTTCTTTCTGTGGATCTAGCAAGGCAAGAGTCCTCAGGTTTCTGCAAGTTGTCCTCATTCTGTCGCAAAGGGCTTTGAAGCAGGAAGGGGAAAAGGGGCTTGTGCCACTGGTTCACAGCCCTCCTTCCCATCCTGCTTGGCTCAGATACTTTGAGCTCCCTCTCCCCCGCCACCAGCTCTGAGGTCTCCCTGCTGGCTATCTAGGGCACCAGGGCACCATCTGTCCGTGGCAAGATTATTGCAGATGAAATAAGAAAAGTCTTATCCAGAGATTAAATATTTAATAGACGTGTCTATTCCACGGGGAAGAACTTGCTTCCAATAATAAGAGCAGGCGCGTTGCATGTTTAGGCGAAGGGCAGCACTACCGTCCTATCACTCCTGGGCTTCTCTGGCATGTTGCTTTTGCCAGAAGGTCTCTCATGCTCAATGTCCAGCATTACGGGTCTCACTTGATGAACTTTACATTGCTCTGTCATGGGCAGCGGATCTTTTCTGATCTGAGAGGTTCTGGGTGCAAACTTGCCTGGAAATCCTGCCCTCGAATCCAATGACAGGGCAGTGTCATTGGTAAAGATGTTGGACTCAGGGGCATATACTCAGGAACACGGTTAACTGTGCCTCTGGTCCAGCTGTGGCCAAATGCTGCAATTGCCTTGCCAGAACTGAGCCTGGCTGTGAATTAGTGTGGATGCTAAGCAATGCCAACCTGCTCCTTTGTTGCAGTCCTCCTGTTTATTTCTAAACTTGTAAGAGGAAAGAGAGGGGAAATGTGCAGGTTTACCAAGAGCTTTCCAGTATTAAAAAAGATGTGAAATTAAAATGCTGGATGGATTTTTTCCCCAGCCAACTGTTTCCCACCTCTGTGACTTTGCCTGGAATCCTGCATCCATTTCTGGGCACCACAGTTCAGGAAGGATAATGGGAAAGCTGGAGGGCCTTTAACCACAAGATACCCTACTTCACCAGCTAACAGATTTGTAGGTCTGGCCACCAAAATGGAAATCATAAGAAAAGTGGAGGCCACA